ATATATTTTTTTTTTTTTCTAACTTATAATTTTTCAGATTCACACCTCCCTTCTCTCAACCTATTTATTTTCTAACTTATAATTTTTCAGATTCACACATCCCTTATCACCGTTCTTCTTTTTTCTTTGTGCACCCCGTTTCTTCTTCTTTACTTTTTTCTCCACACCTCTATACCTCCCCTTCTTCCGTTTTCAATTTTTACATTATTCTCTTCCCTTTTTAGTTTTGTTATAAGTTGTAAGCGGGTTCAGTATCGAAGGAAAAGGTGTCAAACTATATGCATTTTTTCCTCCAAGTAATTCATCTTATTATTTGTTCCGAAAAGTGTTTTCCGAAATAATAAAGCTTTTATTTCGGAAAGTATATTTAGGAATAATAAATTTTTTATTCTGGAAAGTATTTTTCGGAAGTGCACTTGTTACATAATTCCAGAAAATATTTTCCGGAATACTAAATTTAATGTTCCAGAAAGAACTCTCCGGAATTATATAAGAAACGCACTTCCGAAAAATGCTTTCCGGAATAATAATTTTACTATTCTGGAAAATAATTTCCAAAATACTAAAATTAATGTTTTCATTAACATAATCATATTTAGTTAGAAGGATATTTTAGAAATTTTATTTTAAAAAAAGAGATTGGAAGTGTATTTATAAAAAATAGGAGATGCATATATCATCACCCTTATTTTATATTTGCGCATGCTAGGCCCAACCCATTTAATTTTATCTGTGCTGTGTATTATGGGCCGATCCAGCACTTTTTATTTCTTAGTAGGCTTCGTTTTTGTTTATTTTAAAAAAAAATTTCTAAAATATTTTTAATTTTTAATTTTATTTATTTATTTTTAATTTTTTAATTTTACATCACAACATTTAATTTAATATTTTTTTCACACATTTTTTATTTTATTTTTATTATTTTTATTTTTATATGCATTCCCTTACCTTTTCTTCATCCCACATATTTTGGTAGAATGTGAAAACTAAAAGAAAAAAAATGTTTGTATAAAAGAAGAAGAAAGTAGCAAATTGAAAGTTGGAGGTATAAAATTAATTTTTTTTTAAAAAACTACAATATTTTATAATTTTTTTCAAAAAAAATGAAAGAAGTATACTTATTAAAAAAAAAGAAAAAAGGAGGTGTATATATCATGAACCTAGTTTTTACTCTCCATATCCGGTCCCAAAATAGTTTTGGTTTTTCTATTTCCTTTTCTTCAAGGTTATCTTTGGACCGTCTCAATCTTTTATTTTATTTTATTTTAAAATTTCTCTTTTTGCATATTTTATGAAAATTAGTTTTCATAATGTAATTTATTTTGGATTTAATTTTACATAATCATCCAATTACTATTCATTATATAATAAGTTTGTTAACTTTTATAATAACTACTTTAAAAATTATATAAGCTATAATTTTGTATAAAACTTTTTACTCATATAAGCTATAATTTTGTATAATATTTTTACACTATTGGTGGATGATTGATGACTATTTGTTTTATACATTAAGAAAATTAACATTCGTAACAAATTTTTATATTACAAAAGCATAATTGACCTCTATGACATACACAACTCTAAGCTTTTTTCTTTTTCATTATTTTTTTGGCAATTTCAATGTTTAATTTCATAATTTTTGAAATTATATTCTTTGTCAAAGAAGACCAATAGTGTTTTAAAAGTAAACGATCTATACCAATATTTTTACAACAATTATAAAATGTCAGAATGTAAAATGAAAAAGAGAGATAATTTTTTTTTCATACACTTGTATCTTTTTTTATTTATTTAATTATTACTAACGTTACTTTAAATTTTTCTAAAATTAACAATGTTTTCTCTCAATTTATTTCCTATGTTTGTATTTTTATTTTAATACTAAAGCTTTGTCTAAAAATTTATTTTTTATGATACGTCTTTATATATAAGATTTTTGGAAGAATAATATTTATTTGTTAAGCATATTATTAAAAGAAGAACTTCCGTTAATTGGTTTACAGTAATTATAAATGATTTTATTTTAATGTAAATAAAATTAAAAATCAACTAATTTTATTTGAATTGTTATTATTTGTATATTTTAATATTATATATATATGAAATAAGTAACTTAATAAAAATTGACTTATAAAAAAATCCTTAAATAATTATAAATTTAAAAAATGAAGAGTATACATAAACTTATTAAAATACGAAATAGTACTATCACACATATCCAAATAAAATACTAAAAAATAGGAGTACTATATAATAAAGTAAAGTGTTGGGGGACAGGAATGCACAAATTTCACTGACTCTAATTAGTGCTGTAATATTTTTTGCGTGCCAACTTATCAGATCTCGTCGTTTTGCATGATCTCATTGGATTGCAACGAGATTTTTAATTATTTTTTTTTTTTAATTTTAATGGGATACCATTGCACCCTTAACTCAATATGAACAAATTATTTGAATTTTGAATACCAGAAAGGGTTGAGGGGCTTCACAGAAACACAAAAGTGATTTCAGCTACTTCACTGTTGTTCCTTATTACATGTTACCGTTTTGGCCACTTTCTATGTTGTTATTGGAAGAATCTCTAATGCCAAATTCCCAAAATCAGAGAGATAACAAAAAGCAACAAAAGTGTCCCATTTCCACCGGGAATGATTGATGATGACCTGCAAAATCATTGATAGAAGCCAATGATCAAAGCCTTTTCCTTCACCATTCTGAAGCTTTGGATAATCCATAAATTGAGTAAAAGTATTATCAATTAGTTTTTAATAAGGTTCACAAAGATTTCAAAAGAAACTAAAAAACTTGAAAATCTCATAACATAGTTTGGGGGGGGGGAGAGGGGATCATATATACTAATTAGTAAAGAACTGAGAAGTATATATTAGTCAAATAAGCAAACTTAAGATAATATGATACTAGAATTTGTCTGTATTTTATGTAGGGTGTGAATCACATCCGGCTAAAGTTAAACATTATGGTTTCTAAAATAATGACCCTTATCTAGAACAAGTTTAGACATCAACCATTATGATATATGTGGCATATTGACTATAGTATAAGAAACATCTTAAAAGCTTAGGAAAATAGAACAAGCTATTTCTGCATATAGCTTATCTTCATTCTTTTGAATGCTAAATGTTGTTATGTGGAACAATCAACACCTTTACATACCTGATTTTCTTCTTAGATTGTTGCATGTAAGCCATCACGGGAGGAATAATGCCAAACAGAAAGCAATTAGCATAGACCCCAGCAAAATCAAGGGCTCTTGAAAATGTTGACTGAAAAAAAGAAGCTATGAGCACCGAGAAACCAAGGAGGGACAGTGTTACAAGCACTTTAATTGGACCAAAATTTTGCTCAATCGATCTCATTTCAGATCCAATCACAGTCACATTTCTTGAACCTCTGAAGCAAACCTTCCCTGAATTACCAGCACAAGACCCTCCTGAGTAATAGACCAATCCAACTCTTCCACTACTATTATGCTCAACATTGTGACCTTTGACTTTTCCAAATACCAATTCCAAAGTGTCAAGAAGCTGTTTCGGCAAGCTTAGAGCATATCCTATCAAATTAGTAGCCATAGCTGAGAAGGCAAAGCCTTGAACTGAAGATAAAGCAGATGGATTCACAGAAAGCAAAAGGGATATAGGGTCACTAGAGGTGGCTTTTGTGTTATTAGTCCCCACAAGCCCCAACACAATCAAATTCCATGACAAAACTATAACTAAAGGAACAACCCCACCAATAAGTATAGCTTTCCTAGCCTCAACTATTGTATTCCCAGCAACCTTGCATATAAAAGGGGTTATGACATGAAATCCCATTGTGAGCACAATCACAGGTATCATAGGAAGTATTGATGAAAGTCTCCATGAGGCAAAAGCAAATGAGTTTATTATGTTATCTCTTGCCATTAATATTCCAATAGCAACAAGTCCAGTTATAGAGAAAAGCATAAGGAAGCACAAAAGCCTGTTTGCAACATCAATAGTACTAAATGGGAAAAAGCCTAGTAATGTTCCAACAAGAAGAGGAAACATGGCATGAACAAGCAAAATATTCACCCTTGGAAACCATGGAGAGAAAATGGATCCAATACTAGCAACACAAGCCACTAGCAAGGAGAAACACAAAGTGGAGTAAACCACAACAACAAATGCACCAAAACCACTTCCCAATGTGTTTGTTGCAAGGCTTGTGAAGCTCACCTCTTCAAGCCCATGTTCTTCCATTGAATCAAAGCAGAGCTCAGCAATAATAATGATTGAGGAAATGACATAGAGCCAAGAGACAAGAATTATGATTGTTGAAGGAAATGGGCCAGATTTAATGGTCAAAGATGGCAAGCCCAACATTCCAGGGCCCACAGTAGCACCAATGATCAAACCAACAGCACCCCAAAAGCTTTTTCCCTTGGAAGTTTCATTAGAAGCCTCATTTTTGGTGGGGTTGTCAACAATGTTTTCAATTGCATCATCCTCATGTGAAGGGGAAGGGAATGTAGTTACATTACAGGGTGCAAAGAATCTGTTTGGGTACACACTTAGAAGTATTTTTGAGAGTTTATCTGTCGAAAATAAAGAGTATTTTCTGATAGAAAAGCACTTAGAAGTACTTCTACTTTGTATCCAAACAAGTTCAAAGTTTATTGTGAGAGGAGGATTGAGACCATTGGTTGTGAACATCGGAGCTATTGCAGTCTTGTAACTAGTTTGAAGATGGGTTTTATGTCCAAGAAAATGCACTTTGCCATTGATTTTTGGACATGTCAAAGGCTTGTATCTGAATAATGGGTGGGAGAGTAGCATGTTGGTGGTGGAATGAGTTATGTGTAAAAAGGAGTTGTTTGATTTTGCTGGCCAAGTGATGGAGCAAGAGTGTATGACTTCACCACACACTCAGATTGTGAAACCCAGGTCTGCTCCTAGAGATCCATGGACATTAATTAATTAATTAGTATTCACATTTTGAGACCCTTTCTTCACTAGCCATGAACAACTCATATTTTTTAACTACCTCCTTTCCTTCTTAATATTCGTTCAAGGAATGAGTATTCGTCGGTTCAAAAAATTGGATAAAATTGAGGATAAGAACCAAATTAATTAAATTAAACTTTTTTATTGGATCAAATCTCGTCTAAATAAAATAAATTTAACCTTGGTTTGAATTAAAGGTTTGTATTTTGCAAATTCGACGATCCAAAAACCAAAATAATTAAATTATTATTTTATTTTATTATTATAATTATTATCTTAATATTATTTTATAATATTATGATTTTATTAGTAACACAACACTATGTCACTTACATTTTATGAATATATCTAGTCTAGTTTCGCACTAATTATAGTTCTTTTATAATATTAATATAATATCATTATTTTGTTAATTTCACGACACACTTAATCACCATTAGCATACCTAGACTTAGTGTCACAATATAGACTAATGCTAAAAAGAGCCTAACCTTTAGTTTCACTTAATACATTATTTATAGTAAGCTGACATTCATGTTATGAAAAGAATGCATGAAGACTATTATAATGATTGTAACTTAGACAATTTAATTATCTTTGAGGGATTACCTTAATTTTAAATGTTGGAGTATTTTAATTTCAAATGTTGATCTGTGATAGACTATGTTTGATTACTTTAATTTCATATCTTTTTACATTACTATTTTATTTACGTTTGAATATGATTTACTCTCTTTTTATGACAGGTGTATAGTTAAATTTTGGGATGAAATAAAGTATTTTTATTTTAAAAAAAATAAATATCTACCATTTTTTTTTTCTTCAAGAAAATCAATTATTCTAAACCAAATTAACTCATTGTTGATTAGTTTGGTTTAGTTTGGATCGCAATTTTTTGTTTGGTAAATCCAAACCAATCAAAATTGATTGATTTGGACTTTAGTTTACTCCAAATCTTAACCAAACCGATTATAAACACTTTTAGTTTAAGGTCGTTTTATACAAGCTAAAAAATATAATAATTCTTTTCATGTTTTTCATAAAATAGTGTTTATGCTTCCTAGTATACATTTTCATTTAATTATATAATAAATACATGTTAGTTGTCGATGTATAAAGTAATTAAATGTTACATGAGATGTAATGATACAATTGATAAAAAGTAATTAATGTTATTTTTAATTTTGAAAATGACAAATAAATATAAACAAAATTTTACTAAAAGATTGACATTTAAAAAGTATAGGGGGAATATCTATTACAAATAAATTTGATATCTAGAGTTTATACCCCCTCTTTCTTATAATGATCGTAGTTTAATGTTTTTACACAGATTAAATATAACAATAAATATATCACTTTTTAATACAATTTTACTAAAATAGTCAACATTTTTAATAAATACCTCTTCCATTTATTTTTAATTGTCGATTTGTTAGGAAAAATTTATTTATATTTATTTGTCATTTTTGAAGTCAAAGACAACATTAATTACATTTTGTCATAAACATAGCCGAAAACATAAGTCATCTATCTTAGGTTTATCATGTAGCAAAACCTAGACATAATGCATGCGCACACACACATATACTCGAGATCTAAGTGATCCACTAGAATCTAAACAGTAAAAACAATTCCTGATCATCAAAGTGTTCAGTCAGCCGAAGACGAAAACAATTCCCAACAAGATTTTGAATGAGACAAATATAATACATATTGTTATTACTAACAAGTGTGTTAGTATTTCAGATACAAGTACAAGTAAACTGCTGAATAGAGAATATACATTCATACCAGAATCAAGGAGATGTGAGGCAAGCATTGGATAAAGGTTGAGCAAACAAAGGGAATACATCAGATGAAGACTCAGATGATACAAGGCCTTGGACGATGGGTAAATCCTAGCAAGAGCACCCTAGATGGAGTGAAGTACTTACAACAGCCAACTAGACGAAGACTCGAATACACAGACGATGGTCAAGAAAGCTGTCTTGCGTCTGAAGACACAACGAGACAAACTATCTAGCATCCACACTTCTGGAAGAACACATGGAGACATCAAAATAAAAGAAGGAAGATAAGAAAAATGGACGAGCGCTTATCCACAAATCAAAATAGCGTGTGTCAGAGAAAGTACACCTACCAATCAGCAAAGGACAACGCCTCTATCGCTACAATACCAACAAAGTACAGAGATATCTTAATGCCAGTCATAGAAGCACACAAATGGTACAAAAGATCTCGAGAAGCGTAGATTCAACAAGCAAACATTAAATACAAAGTCAGAAGCATTAAATGTCACAATCCATGAAGATTGTACAAACCAGATGAAAGAATCAGATGATAGGTAATCAAGCATAAAAATGAAGTCTTCTCACAGACAAAAGAGGATTACCATCAGAATGAGACACTGAAACATCAGATAAAGCCTATAAGGAATAGTCAAGGCAAGACACGAACCAGACAAGTTGAGACAGATGAAGCAAGTGATGTAGGAAACTGAGTGTCAAGAGAAGAATAATTGGAACACGTATATGCGCCAGTTGATCATAAAATACTCAGAAAAAAATGTGTCTAATACAACTATCCCAAAGCGCAAATCAGACGAGGCATATGACTAAGGTAAAAAAGAAAGCCAACTATGCATCAGACGAAAGACAACACAGATTGAGAGACACTCCAGATGGAAACAATGTTTGTCTATTCACATTGTTAATCATACGAAAGGAAAGTCAAAGATTGAAATACACATGACCAACAAATGAAGATGAAGACTAGCACGCAAGCAAATAAAGAATCACGTCTCAAGAAACAAGCCAAGACATCGTCTGTGACCACACAAAAGCTTTCAACGTAAAACGCGTGATCTAAGTGAAGAAACAAAGAAGAAGAGAAGTACGCAAAAGCAGAGCATGCGTGTATCAAAAAAAGTGCATTACTTTTTCAAAAAAGGACAACGACTATATTGCTGCATGACCAGAAAAAGATAAATAATTTCTTAGTCTTAGATAAAGTCAAACACTGCTGCAACAGGACAGAGAAGAATACACCCAATGTCTAAGAACAGTAGGAAACACTTAATGCAAGGCCAAATGCATTAAATGAAAGGATCAAACTAGTCATGAACGACTATATTAGCTTCAACAGACATATACAACGGGAAGCTCCGCGTCAACAGACATATTCAAAATCAAGCAACGGGCAGATTCTACAATAATATATAAATATGCAACAACATCAAACCTTAAAAAAAGGGGAGGCAGGAAGCAATGAAAGAATGATTATATGCCTTGCCCTGGGCTTTCTGATTGGAATAAAAAGAATGATATCAAGCCCGCGAGTCAAAGACTAGAGATGAACATACATAGTCATATGTACAATGTAATATTGTATTTATATCTCTGTAGACTAAGGTGTTCGAAATGTCAGTAATGGACTAAACCTTAGTGAGTGCTGTAAACCTATGTATCCTCTCCATGAGAGTAATCCAAACACTCAAACACAAGTCTCTGTAAAACTAAGGTAGAAAACCTTAGTGAGTGTAGGAAATTCCCAATCCTCTCTATGAGAGTAATGTATGCACTCAACCAAAACTGTCTAGCCAACATTGTAAAGCTTGAAGAGGCTAGGAAAAGAATACTTGTAAAGCCCCGAGGGGCTTGTCAAAGAATACTCACTGCTAGCCAGAAGTGGCTGAGAAGAATATACTAGCATTGGTGAGTGAAGCTGACGGGCCAGGAGTGGTCGAGAATACTTGGAGAACCAGAAGTGGTTTAAGAATACTAGTGTTGGTGAGTGAAGCTGAAGGGCCAGGAGTGGTCGAGAATACTTGGAGAACCAGAAGTGGTTTAAGAATACTAGCGTTGGTGAGTGAAGCTGACGGGCCAAGAGTGGTCAAGAATACTCAGGGCCAGGAGTGGTCGAGAATACTCAAGGCCAGGAGTGGTCGAGAATACTCAGGTCTAGGAGTGGACGATAATACTCAATGTTCTTTATTTCTTATCTAGTGGAACCCTTCAAGTTGAAGGAGATTAGATGTATCTCTGTTGAGCAAACTAGTATAAAATGATTGCATCCTTTTATTTACTTAGACGCAAATCTTCCTTACTGATTAAACATTTGTGAAAGACTTTGTCCGGTGTTTATATGTCTTTAAAACAACTTTTAGACAAAGATGCCAACCTTGGTTGACAAACTTATTACACTGAAAGTTTCATCTACTACTTATCCTAAAACGAAACTATCTTGAAAAGGAAAACGTAAGAACTTCAATTAATATTTTTACAAAACATTTTCCCTAGTGGACGATAAACCCTTCAAATGCATTGATTGTATGTTAAGAAAACTCTGCATAAACGTTTGATATTCAAAAGTGCAGTGGGCGAAGAGAACTACTCTTGCGTAAATGTTTTTAAAATACCTTTGTTCACACACACACATATTCAACCCCTCTTCTATGTGTTTTTTCCACTAGCCTCACAAAGTAGTAAATAACATCCCTTATAAGACTATAATCCCAAAATATATAATAGCTAAATACAACAACAAAGACAGCAATGTACTAACCTAGTCCAACAATAAAACAAAAAAA